TATAATCAAAAGCACAGAACTGATCTTATCCCCTCTCATCTCTCTCTCCCGTAGCCACAACTATCTTACTTGCATTCTTCCTAGAGAGGCTAAAAATCTCCTACAACTAAAAAGAACAAAGTGCAAATATTTTTTGGTGCGATATTTGTTTTGGTTTGTCCGTCTGCCCACGCCTGCAATTCCATGACATCTCCCACATGTCTCATGCAACTAAAAAGAATAAAAGTAAGATATTTTTTTGTGCGACTTTTTTTGCGGGTCGCTCCTCCCTTCCGGCCATACGATACCCCGCGCGATAGAAAAAGAAACTGCCATCCGTGTGATCCTCGTCTGCTTTGAAGGAAACAAATCGATCACCTGAGGCCACATGCATGGAAGGAAACAATAATCATGCACCGCACGATAGAAAAAGAAATTGTCATCCCTGTGATCCCCTTCTGTTTTGAACAAAACAAATCGATCACCTGAGGCCACATGCATGGAAGGAAACAATAATTATGCATGGAAGAAAACAATCATGCGGTGCCCCTCTCTCGCTCGGTCAGATATCTTTCATCTCCTCATAAACTGGATCATATGGTATTGTCCATAATTTGGAGGGTATTAAATTTAGGCTGGGTGCATAGTAGGCCACCTAACTTTATTCTTGCAACTTCTACCTTTTTATGTGTTAGTCTTTGTCAATGGTATAATTTGTTCGCAAAGCTCAAGCAAGACAATTGGCAAAGATCAAACAAGACGACTCAATGAGGTCGGCCCTTAATTTTAGTGTTTTCAGCATGCAGACCTGAAATTAAAAAGTGACTGCTCCTTGAAAACATCAACGGTGCCAAATAAAAGATGTGCATGTTATACATGGTGAGACTGGTGAACCTTCTGTAATTTTCTAAACGAATATTTCCACCATTAGTATATAGGTCTATTCCCCTGCGTTTCTTCGTACTCCCGTTAGCATATAATATGAAAGTATTGTTGTGTTCATCACGACTTCTAGTTGACTACTCCCAATAGCATATACTTCATCTGCCCTAAAATATAAGTCATTATGGGATGCGTGCAGGTCAAACTTTCTCAACTTTGATTAGATTTGTAAAAAATATGTGCAACATGTATATCTCCAAATAAGTTTATTATGAAAATATATCCAATGGTCTATGTAATGATACTAATTATATATTATAAATATTAATATTCTTTTATATATAATTGGTCGAAGTTAAAAAAAGTTGACTTCTCGGGAAGCGAGAATGAATTCTATTTTGGGACAGATGGAGTATATGAAAGCAGTGTTGAAAATATTTTAACAATCGAGTTCGTCTCTGTCTGATTGGTAAGCTTAGACATCATAATGGCATCAAAAATTTCGACTCTCATGGACACCCTCATGGATCAGTGCAAAGCATCATAATCCTACAGCATACACAAATGACAACCTTAAAGTTATGATATTTTTAAAGGGTGGATAATAAAGATCATCTTAGACGTTCGGACATTAAAGTATATACGTGTAGCCACATAGACATGGTGGTGCAAGTGAGCAGCCAGCAAGAGTCGAGAGTTAGAGGGTGTTTGGATCCCAGGACTAAACTTTAGTCCCTATCACATTAAATTTTTGGATATCAATTAGGAGGACTAAATATGAGCTAATTATAAAACTAATTACATAAGTTGTGGCTAATTCGCTTGCCAGCGCCGTGTACAGGATGGTATGGAGATGTGGTGGAACTTATTCGTGAATTTGTTGGCGCACAAAAGAAATGGATATCGAAAATCTCTTTCTGCCGGTATAAAAAATGATCTTAGCCGCATCACGGAAAGATCTACACAGTAGAGTTTGTGAGCCTGCGACGCTACGCTCTCTGTGACTATGTAAATTTTACGAACTTAGTTTTTTTTATTAAATGTCACTTTAACGTCGGTCATATATTTTTGCAGTATTGTTATCTTATCGTGCGATCTGTGTGTTTTTAGTACAAAAGTTTAGCTGTGAAGAAGAGCAACGCACAGGCACGAACCTATTTGCATATATGCTCGAACCCGTGTGTACATGATTATATGGAGATACAGCGGAACTTATTCATGGATTTATTGGCGCATGAAAGAAATGGATATCGTAGAATTCTTTTTGCCGATATAAAATATTATCTTAGCCGTATCACGAAAAAGTCTATACAGTAGAGTTTGTGCGTCTGCGACGTCGCGCTCTCCGTGACTGTGTTAATTTCACGAACTTTGTTTTTTGAATTAAATGTCACTTTGACGTCGGTATTTAATTTAACAGTATTGTTATCTTATCGTGCGATCCGTGTGTTTTTAGTTAAAAAAAATTAGTTATCTCATAGAAACGTACGGACATGCTACCTAGTCAACAATAAAATCCACAAAGATGGAGGATGTTCCAGGGTTATCCTCTTGGTGCAGCAAAGATCTGGTGGCCTCCTCTCTTATTTCGTATTTTGCTTCTTCGTTGACTTCCAGATTTGTTCTCAGATCCCGTGCAAGAAAGGTGCGAGCAAAATCCGTTTCTATTTTCTCAACTTCCTGCTGCTATTTCGATCTTCTATATATGCTAGATTAGTCTTGGTTGCAGTTTACACAACGTGGTCTATACAGATCTATTTTTTTCTCAGCAATTATTAGTTTCCTTGGTGATAGTTGATAAACAGATGTAACTTCCTAATCACTATTTTCTTGCTACACAGACAGATCGACCTTTTCCCTTGCAGCATGTGAAATTAGGCTTACTTTTAGCATGTGCGTACTGTGATCCTATCAATGGAAGTAGCTTCCATTATTATATTTTTACATTTTACCTTAATAGGTAACACGCTTGCCATCTAATAAATTTATTAAAGTAGTAAGTTATCTAACAGTTCTTGTACACAATGACAAACATGCAAAAATCTCTACATGTGAATTTATTTCTTACATTTATTTCATATATGATGCTCAGATGGATATAGAACAGATTCCTGATTATGTTGTCCAGCACAGAGCTCGGATGCTAAGTTTCTACACACCGTTGGCCACAATTCGAGAAATTGTGTGATTGGCCACAATTAGCTATGTTTCCTTGCAATATTTTAATTCACATTATCAATATAGTTTACTGAACCAGTAGCTTGTATGACTTGTTACTATTTAGCAACATGCCAACATATATGTACTTTTGCTTGCTGTTTTCTTGTATACAGATTGTTGTTTTCGTCACTGCAATATATATGTCAGACTTGTTACCACATTTTCAATATTTTTCTGTAATGTTGCTTGCTGTTTTCTTCACTTACATTTTTTTTTTCTGTAGTTCACTCAATGGATACAAGTAGGCCCCTAGATACAGGAGAAAGCAGCAGAATTCTAAGGGCAAGAGAGGTGAAAAAGCTGCAGGATCAAATCAAAGGGCAAAAGCTACAAATTGGCCTGCTGTTATATCTGAATTTCTCCAAAAAGTGTTTTCAAGAAGATGCATCACACGGCTGGTATGTCTGCAGTAAACTCCAAATATGGCACTACCTATACTGTGGATCAAGTTCAGTGTCACTGGAGGCGGCATAAGGATACTTGGGTACTTGTGGCTAAGCATATGAATGAGAGTGGCAGTGGCTGGGATGGTGACACAAAAATGGTGACCCTCTCCAAGTCTACTTTGAGCGAACTCTAGGTAATTATCTCTTGCCTAAATATTCATCTTACATGTATTATCTTGAATGATTCTTATTATTTTTAATGCAGCCAAATGACCGTGGGATTCTCTCAAAACCAATTCAGTTCTTTGACAAGTTGCAAGAATTATCAGGTGCTACCAAAGTTGACGGTCAGTAGCTGGCGTTTATGGAGAAGTTTCAGGCTCTTGGGACAGCCTATGTGATATGCTTGTGTGTATCAGAGAATTATTATGTAATCTTAAGTTGCAATATTTGTTAGCCTATAGCTTGAAAACACTTGTGTGAGAGATTATGAATAGAGCTCATATGAGTTCATTACTTTGTCTGGAACATGAGTTCATGGTTTATTTGTGTTCATAATGTGTTGTTCTCAACTGAAAATATAATGATTTATTTTATATCAGATATTTGGTCTATTTATTCTCATGATGTGAAATCCTCCATATATCAAACAATTACTTTATCAATGAAATGCTTTATATGAAAGTAATGTTGGCACTCGTACACAATGTAACCGTAACCCAGGCAAGCTGAACCACCAAACGATGCCTGGCTTCTCTACCAGCCCAGGCTGACTTCCCGCCAGGGCATCGACCAAACAACACAGCATGTTTTAGCTTCGCCTGGCCAGGCATTCTTGCAAATAAATACAGGCAACTTTTAGGCAGCTAAATAGCCCAGGTTCTATCCAAACAAGCCCGGAGTACACGAGTTTGGGCTGGGCCAGATGGCCTGCAGCCCTGCACTGGCAGGTTTCAGTCCACTCCAACTACCTCGTGTAAGGGCCTGTTTAGATTAAAAAAATTTGTGTAGTACCCGTCACATCGAATGTTGCGGCACATGCATGGAGTACTAAATGTAGACGAAAAAAAAAACTAATTGCACAGTTGGGTGAGAAATCGCGAGATGAAACTTTTGAATCTAATTAGTCCATAATTAGACACTAATTACCAAATACAAACGAAATGCTACAGTGAACCAAAATCCAAAAATTTTTGTATCTAAACGCCCCATAACATGATCTTGCCGCCGTCAAAACCTATTGAGCGGGAAGCAAGGCCGCCAAAACCAAATCGACAAATTCCCCATCCCCAGCGGCTTCTGGCTCTTCCGCCAGGTCTTGCCGTCCAAATCCTCGAGCCGGCGGCGCCTTCCCTCGGCTCCTCGAGATTTGCCTGCCACTATCGCCTCGTTTGCCACCCGCGGCGTTCTCCGTTGCCCTCCGCCGCCCAGGCCTCCTACGCGGCTACGGGCTACGCCTGACGCCGCCGTCCAGTCACCCCGGACGGCGACATCCGAACGGGCCCCAACGCCCACCTCGCGCTCAGAAAGGTAATGCTCGAAATTTGTTACGTTCTTCTCACGGGGAGTGGTGTCTCAAAGTTAGGAGCTGATGCAAAGGTATGGCTCCGAATTGATTGGCCCAATCCAAGTAAACACATATAGCCTGTAGTAGATGATATTTCCGCTCCAAAGCTCGAGTTGCAGTGTGTTTATATTTGAACAATTACTTTCTCATACTCATTGACAAGACACAAATTGCTGGTGTAGAATCAGGGGTAAGCAGTTGTGATCCTGTCCTCTTGGTCAGATGCCGGGTTACTATGACATCGATGACATCCTCATGGAGGATGAGGTAATTCTAGATGCAGGCTTTCATCTCCTCTTCGTGTATGATGCTTGAGTTTACGTGCTGAGTATATGTTTTGGCTCTGCGTGCAGCCTATTTCAGTTGTTTTCCAAGTAACTGCAAATGGTGTTGGCCTGCTAGATCCTGGTGCTGAAAGTAACTGTGTAAGTGTCTGCCCAGTGAATTTTGTGCTCCTATGCTTCTAGTGCTAGACGTGTTTACACATGTCGGAAAATTCTTCTTATGTCTTCATATTTACTGAATGCGATTTATGCAGTTATTGAACAATAGTTCGCTGAGAGGCTTCTTATGCACTCCTTGACTTGTTAAACTGATTAGGATCTTGTCCTGAACCCCAACTGGGAAAGTGGGAATTGGAAGTTTTGCATTCTGGACGAACTTTACTCTTTCTACTAAAATTGCTAATAGGGATGTTTCTCTTGTATAAAAGAAGATCTGAGTTTCTTTTTTATATCCAGGTAGAGAAGGGTGCCAAGGTGGACCTACCATTTTGGCTTGCTCATGGGCTGCTGTCTCTGGAACAAGCTGTGTCAATAAACCCACCTCCATGCTTCACACAAAAGTATGTTTCTTCAGTGTCTGTTATGGCATTACTGCATACACAGAAATTCTTGGAGCAACAGGAAAGCATGGGAGAGCAAGGAGTATTCTTATTTGGAGAAACATACATGGAAATCCCTATCAACAACTTAATAAAAGGATCTGACTTTTCTTGCCTCCATTGTGGCCTACTGTAGTTTTCCATAGTAAATAGTAACATTTGAAGATCTTTCTCTTATAACTTAATGACAATTTATTAAAGACATAAATCTTTGTGAGTCTTGACGGGAAAATTCAAACAGTTATCCAGAATTTGACTTTTTCTGAATGGCTGAGTTCTGGGTATTGAATAATACTGCAGAACTCGGAAGGAGATCCAAGCTGATGCAGCCTGTGTGGATTTGAGGGTTCGTTGCCCGTACTTTTATGAGCTAGGATGCAAGATTGTTCCTTTGTAAGTTTCCTCACCACTTTAGTCATGCATATCATTGAGGGTTTACTGCCTGTACTTTTATGAGCTAGGATGCAAGGTTGTTCCTTTGTAAGTTTCCCTGCTACTTTAGTCATGCATATCATAGATTTCATGGTTCTCAGTTTTCCAAGTCTTTTTTGAAACATTGAATGCTTTATTTTCACTGAGCCAAGCTTACAAGTGAATTATTTTTTATACATGAGTACAATCGAATTGCCAACCTTTCATCATCAGCTTGGGTGTTTGGTTGAATTGGTAGTCCATGTCTCTGAACAAATGTGCTTTCAGTGTCTTAATGTTCTTATGGCCATCAGCAAGACAGGGTTCATTAATGAATTCCTTTGGAATTCGAAAAAACATATTGAATTGTTTAAAGTTCAAGTCGATGTGCTCTTGTCACATAAAAATATTGTTTTTATTCTATGTTAATTGTTAAGAATAGCTTGATGGCTTAAATAGCTCTCAAGCGTGCTGTTTCTATTTTTTTCTTTCCTAACCCCAAAACCAAAAGCCCATGACATCTCGTTTATTAAGGGAACAAAGAAAAAACTGATATGCCATGGCGGGAACTGGAGAGTGTATTAGCAAAGAAAGTGGCTTTAAGGCTTGGATCAGATTGTGCACTGAAAGGCTAAGGGCAATGGATCGCCCATCTGGAACTGATGGTGCTTGTACCCAGTAATGACAGGAAGTCAGGAGTCTTTGACCTGACTGAAACTTTGAGGAGTTTATTTCTTTGGTGCTGCAAACCTAGCACACTAGATAGCCTTTGTAGATTGAGATGTCTAACCAGCAAGCAAATTTTTAATCCCTTATCTTACTAAACGCACCAGTCTACTTATTTCTTCTTGATTGTGATCAAATACTCATGTGTCTGCATTGGTGTCACTGTAGCTGACATGGCTGCCACCATCTTGTGCTTAATGCCATAGTATGTCTTGCCATCCAATGCTGTAAGGTTGTGATTGTTAATATTCTTTTAGGGTAGGACTACACGGTCATATTGACCAACAATTGGTTGGGGCAAATTAAGGTAAAAGCCAAACAAGGCCTAACTCGATGTAACCTGACTAGGTTTGAAGTGCAAATGATTTTTACTACCAGTCACATTGATTTATGTCTTGTCTAGTCAACACATTCAGTCTCTCTATGTCAACCAACTGTCATGTGAAACATTGATATAAACAAAGTTAAGCTAACTATAAAAGTTGGGAGTTTTGTAGTTCGGGCTCACTATCATGTGAGCATGACCTAGTCTGTGCAAGCTTCATTTGTCTCCTCCAACGAGTAATAGGTCATCCCTTTGCGTTAAAAAAAGTAATAGGTCATCCCTAGTCCCTACTCGGCTCCGTGGCGAATGATGTTCTCAGCCTCGACATTGTGCTGAACCAGACGGCCAGACAACTTTGGTCTACCATCAAGGCCCTCTTCGAAGCGAACAATGCTCCTCGTGATGTCTTCCTTAGCCACGAGTTCCACTCCATGACCTTGGGCGACCTCTCCATCAACGAGTACTACCAGAATATGAAGGCCACCGTCGATGCGCTCCGTGATGTCGGCCACACCGTCCTCGACTTGCAGCTCGTCCTCAACCTGTTGCACGGCCTCAACCCTCGCTTCTCTAGCATTGCCTTCAACATTGTCGACTTTGATCTGCTTCCTGAATTCGTCACAACCTGCGAGAAGCTCGTCTTCAAAGAACAGTCTCACTAACGAGAGCAAGGTCGCCACTCAGACAACACTCCACGCCTGCTTCTCTCCTTGTGGGGTGGCGTGCTGCACAAACGGCTCTAGCTAGGGCACTGGTGGCACCGGCAATAGTAGTGGCCAAGGTGGCCACCAGGACAGTGGAGGTGGTAGTGGCAGCAGCGGCAGCAATGGCTAGGGCAGCCGCAAACACAGGTGGGGCGGCAGCCGTGGTGGCGGTGCGAGTTCCCTTGGCGGCGGTGGCAACCGTGGCCCCTCCTCGTCGGCCGACCCTTGGATGTCCTTCACCCTGTGGGGCACGCAGCAGTAGTGGCTCAACCCGCATGTGCTGTGGCGCCCTTAGCAGCCTGGCGTTCTAGGCGCGTACCCATAAGCATACATCGCCTTCGCTCCCGCCTAGTTCTCCGATTCGATGACTTTGCTGCCTGCCACACCACAGCAGGGTGCCGACAGGTGGGATCAGACCAACCTCATGGCCACTCGAACCAGATGGCTCTCTTGTGGTCCTCAACACTTTGGTGCCACCGCTCACATGTAAATCAACGGATGTATCCGCTCTCCCACCTACTTTTCTAATTTCCGTCGTGGCACATCCACCTTGTCGACAACTAACACTACTTTTCGCCTTGGCAATGTCCTAGTTGCTCCTGCAAAAGTGTGGAATTTGCTTTCTGTTTTCGCCAGTTCACTCGCGACAATAATTGTTCCATTGAGTTTGACGCTTTGTTTATTCTTTTTTGTTAAGGACTAGTAGATGCGGCGTGTGGCTCCTTGCTACACCAGTAGCTGAGACCAATACACCATCTCTTCATCGCCACCCTACAGTTGCAGCTTCGCTACTTCATCCACCCTGTGGCATCACCGCCTTGGTCACCTCGGTCCTTCCGCCCTCGCCACGCTCTAGAACATGTCGGTCATCTCTTGTGATAAGAACCCACGGTCCTTGTGTCATGTATGTTAGCTTGGCAAGCACATGCAGCTCCCATTTAGCAGTTCCACTTCTTTCACGACTCCTCCTTTTGATTTAATTCACTGTGATGTATGTACATCTCTGGTTCTTAGCATTTCATGCTATAAATATTATCTTGTGTTGCTTGATGATTATTCTCACTTTTGTTGGTTGTTTCCTTTACACCACAAATCTGATGTGCATCGTCATATTGTCTATTTTGTTGCCGATGCTCACACGCAGTTCAGCGCCATACCAGAGTTTTCAGGCTGATAACAGCACAAAATTCATCAATGTAGAAAGATAGAGAGGTTTGGGAGAATCACTGCACACACCCATTGTGGGAGGGGTGCCTTCATATATATGTAGGGCCATGTACAAGTACAGTGCGTACAATACGCTAGCTATAAAAAGACAATACGAGCTGTACAATAAGCCTAATACCCGCCCGCAGTCATAGCGGGACGATCACGAACGCATAGACTGGTCTGAAAATCTGAAAACAGCTGTACGGGGAGACCCTTGGTCATGATGTCGGCGAACTGGTGTGCCGAAGGGACATGGAGAATGCGGACTTGTCCCAGAGCAACCTTCTCACGGACGAAGTGGATGTCGATCTCGATATGCTTGGTACGACGATGATGGACGGGGTTGGCGGTCATATAGACAGCGCTGACATTGTCGCAGTAGACGATCGTCGTGAAGGGAACCGAGGCATTCAGCTCCTGGAGGAGTTGTCGCAGCCAGTAGCACTCGTCCACCACATGGGCCACAGCTCGGTACTTCGCCTCAGCACTGGAGCGGGACACCGTAGTCTGGCGCTTTGAGGACCAGGACACCAGATTGTCGTCGAGGAAGACACAGAAGCCAGAGGTGGAGCGGCGTGTGTCGGGGCAGCCCGCCCAGTCAGCGTCGGAGTAGGCGGTGAGCTGGTCGACTGGTCCAATGCCTAGGTGAAGACCGGCGGAGAGGGAGCCCTTGATGTACCGGAGAATGCGCTTGATCAGCGCGAGGTGAGGCTCACGGGGATCATGCATGAACAAGCACACCTGCTGAATAGCATATGCCAAATCAGGTCGCGTCGGAGTGAGATACTGGAGGGCGCCTGCGAGACTCCGGTACTCGAAGGGGTCAGCCACCGGGGCGCCTGTGGTGGCGGACAGCTTGTTCCGTGCGTCCATGGGTGTGGTAGTGGGATGGCATTCAGACATGCTAGCCCGTCGGAGAAGGCCGACGACGTACAGATGTTGCGACAAGAACAGCCCTGAGCTGTCGCGCGTCACGGAGATGCCGAGGAAGTGGTGAAGGTCGCCAAGGTTCGTCATGGCGAACTCGGAGCCGTACCGTGATGAGCTGTAGCAACTCACGGGACGACACCGTGAGAATGATGTCGTCGACGTAGAGGAGCAGGTATGCGATGCGATCTCTGTCCTTGTAGACAAACAGAGATGTGTCGGACTTGGACGCAATGAAGCCCATGCTGCAGATGTACGTGGCGAAGCGCTGGTTCCAGGCCCTAGACGCCTGCTTGAGCCCATACAAGGACTTCTGCAGGAGACAAACATAGTTAGGTTTGGCGTGGTCGACGAAGCCGAACGACTGCTGGCAGTAGATAATCTCCTCGAGGTGGCCGTGGAGGAAGGCGTTCTTCACGTCCAGCTGATGGATGGGCTAGGCACGCGAGGCGGCGATGCCGAGGACGGTGTGGATCGTCACCGGTTTGACAACCGGGCTGAACATCTCGTCGTAGTCAACGCCGGCCTGCTGTGAGAAGCCGCGGACCACCCAACGCGCCTTGTGCTTGAACAACCATTTGCTAGTGACCACATTGGCACCAGGCGGTCAAGGTACAAGGCGCCAGGTATTGTTGGTGATGAGAGCATTGTACTCCTCGGCCATCGCAGCGCGCCAGTTGGGATCAGCAAGGGCGCTATGATAGTTCGCTGGAACTGGCGAGGCAGTCATGGCGGAGAGGTTGAGGCACTCCACTGGACACAGGCTGCCAGTCTGAGATCGCGTCACCGGTTGCACGTTCGGCACCGGGGGTGCTGGTGCCAGTAGCACCGTGGGCACTGGGTTGGCGGAGGAGGACGGTGCCATTGCCGCCGGAGGCGGCGACGTCGTTGTCGATGGCGTGGGGTCTGGTCGAGGCCGCCGCTGGTAGGTGAGACCAAAGCGACCCGACCCACCAGGGCGCAGACAAGCAGGAGACCCACCTGGCGGCGGTGCGGCGGTAGGGCCCCTAGCCGTAGGTGCAGGGCAGCCGGTGGGACACGGCTGGGTAGGAGGAGCGGACCAGCGTAGATGATCGCCGGGTCCTGGAGAT